CAATGAACTGTTTCAGTATCACAACTAGCATGTGGCCATACTGGCCACCACACAGGCCTCAGCAACCATGGAGACCCAGTTCTGATACATACATCCCATCATCAGATCACATAGCCTGTGATTTTCACCATGATTCGAGTTCTGAGTTCAATGATCCAGTTGCGAGAGCCCACAAAAAAGCCTCCCCAGAGGTGACCCAACCTAGGTCCTGTATGTGCCAGCCAAAATGGGATCCAGCTCAGTCCATCACCCACACAGACTACTGATTTTTTTTAAATCAATAGACCCACAGTCATGTCTATGCTACAATCACAAATGATTTGAAAACAGCGGATGTTTCATAACAGCTGCCACAGCCTACAATAATCCTTCCCCTTTTTGACAAGATTTTTTTTATTGGGAAGCCAGATCTACAAGGAGGAGGAGAGACAGAAAGGTCCTCTATCCTGAGGTTCATTCCTCAAATGGTTGTAATGCCTAGAGCTGAGCGGATGTGAAGCCAAGAATCAAGGAGCCTTCTCCAGGTATCCCACATGTGTGCAGAGTGCCAGCTCCAGGGATGAGGTTCCCAGGGTGAGCAGCCTGTTCCTTCTGTGGCAAAGGATCATTGGATCCACGGAGAGCACAGAATCCCATGTTTTTAGGATCACTATCCCTAATACCCACATTCCTAGAACATGAATGTTTAATTTGGATTGCAATAAATTGTGCTTAATGTTTCAGCTTGAAATATCCATAATGCTTCTTTTTATTGAATGAACCAAAAAGGATATTGCAACAATGAGTACTCAGGCATAATCACTCCTTTCCTTTAAATCAGTAGTCTATTGGAAGTGCCAAGCAGGAGGGTATGAGGGAGGCTACAAGGTACTCCATGGGGCTTGCTAACTACCTTCTAGGGACAATGGAAGGATGATTGCAATAGAGAATGGTCCTTGGTAGATTATGGCCCCATGAGAAGTTAGACCAACTAGGCTCACACTTCTGCTTTCATGGAATGTTTTTGTTTAGGCTTGTGTCACTGTGGTAAAACGATCACTACTAGTAGCATAGTAAGCTTCACAGTAGTAGGTTCCTGCATCATCAGCCTGCACCCCGCTGATGGTGAGAGTGAATGATGTCCCAGATCCACTGCCCTTGAACCTGTCAGGGACCCCAGACTCTAAAGTGGATGCACGGTAGATCAGGAGCTTTGGACGTTGCCCTGGTTTCTGCTGAAACCAGCCTAGATAATTGTAAGCAACACTCTGACTTGACTGGCAATTGATGGTGACTGTGCCTCCCACAGGTGCAGACACCTCAGATGGACTCTGGGTTAATGTTTGGCCGGAACATCTGGCACCTGAGAAGAGAAACACAAACACAAACATCCACTCTCATCAGCATGTTCATACAGAAGACACAGGAAGATTCAGACAGCACTGACCACAAGAGCTGAGACAATCCCTGCTGTTGTCCTTCCTCACCTAGGAGCCAGAGCAGCAGGAGCCCCAGGAGCTGAGCAGGGGCCCTCATGTCCATGCTGTGTCCTGACTGGCACTGTCTCTTGCACAGACTGTGAGCACCTGTTTATAAGTGTGCAGGCCAGTGGGCTGTGCCCTGGGGACATGCAAATCAGCAGGGAAAGAGATATTGACTGCAAAGCAGAAGCGCCCAGCTCATCCCATAACACAGCACGGGAGATGAGATCATACCCTGGGCTGCACTAATTTATCTGCAGAGAACATGATCCTCTCTGAAGCAAAGCACGTAAGGATCTGTTAACAAATTAAATGAACCCAGGGACAAGATGATGCCATCTATTTGGGTTCCCTGCCTATGTTTCAACTTGCAGAAGGGAAACTTACTGTTACAGAATGTGTAGTACCATTCTATGCACTAATTCCATCAACTCCTCAGCCTGTCTTTGAATTCTTCCTCATTGATACATTTATGGGAGTCTGAAATTATTTCATTTATGCTACTTAGAAAAGAGGAAAAGAGGGATTCACACACATGCACATATATGTTTATTTGTTAATTTATTTAGGAACCACTATATAACGACACTCAGAGTCTGAATACAGAAGCAATATACTGCAGATAGATATAACTTAATATAGCAAAGGGTTCTTATGCCCAGAGACTAAATGGCCTACACTTTCCCAACATGAGAGACTCTGCAATACATTTTTATGTCATTGGCTGTCATTTCCTAAACTTAATCAACATGAAACTTTGACTACTGATGTTAAATGCCATGTATGCATGATGATCAGTGTTTGCATTCATCTGTAGGCACCTGGAAGAGGATCCACAAGACCCTTTAGATGAGTTCACACCCAGAAAAATTCTCTGCAACAGACTAAGAAACCCCATATACACTTTTGTGGTTTGTTTCTCTGAGCTGCAGTATCTACCACTGGGCTCAGGTGACCATCCTGGATCCGGGTATGTGGAGAACAGATAAGGAGGTAGCCCAGGAGAAAAACTCATTTATTAAAATTCTGTTTTAGATGAGGGTACACAAGGGATAAGCTGACTGAAGTTGGAGGCACAGAGCTCCTTCCAGGTCTTCCATATTGGTGCAGTAGCACAAGGATTTGTCTATCTTCCAATGTATTCCCAGGCCATAAGCAGGGAGCAGGATCAAAAGTTGAGCAACTGGGATTTGAGCCAGGCTAGATTGACTAGCATGGTATGCCAGATTAATGCTCTCATAATATTTTTTTATTGCATTTCATTTTATGACATCGTTTCATAGGCTCTGAGATTGCCCCAACCCCTCCCCGTGCCCTTTCCCCATGGTGGATTACTCCACCTTATTGCAGTGTTACAGTTCAAATCCAGTCTTGCTTCTTTCATTGCAAGCATCTACCATGCATAGAGTCCAGCATCTTATTGTCCAGATCAATTCAACAATTTCTTGGGGGAGACTATCTCTGGTCTAAATGCAGAGCTGGCAGAATATCGTTCTGACAATTAAAAGCCATAACATAACATCAACAACAGTTTACAACATTATGGGGTTAATTGACATGGTATTGAGTGACTGATATGTTAGAGAATGGAGGTTCTTAACCACATACTGTGACTACTTCATTAACAGTACAATTTTAGCTGATATACACCTGGCTTCTATCCACATTAAAATGGATAGAGGACACTATTCAGCTGTCTCTTGTCTATTTTCATTTTTGTATTTAACAGTTTATTGTATTGAAACATAATTTTTACTGAACTTGACAGATTTTAGGATAGTCCAAACTGGCAACAAGGAAAGCTTAGAACCAGACAGGAAATGGTCAGCGGGAACTCACATATACCTTACTAGATAGGACACGAAAATAAGTTACTCCTAACTAGGATATTGAAGATTTCTCTGCACACCCCTCCTAAAATTGTTCTGTGCCTCAACTGGTGACATATGCCTTGTTAAAGCCATAATAAATATTTTAAAAAATAAATAAAGTGATTGGTAAAAGGAATGGCAATCAAAATAATTCACAAGTATACAGTGAGTTTTTTTGAATTTTTTTTTTTTTTTGGCTGAGGAAAACAACCAAAGTCAGGTATGGATGTATTGAAATGATTTCACTGGTCCAAGAGGATCTTCGAATACACATAATGAACTAAAAGACTGAAACATATCAACATGCAGGCACTGTCTTATCTAACCGATAAGATTCACACATTCTGTGTAGATATGATATTAACATGGGTCTTCAAACAATTAGTAGGAAATTCACATTACAAAAAGGTAAGCATGGTTTACAACTTCGTTTTGCAGCAAAACAAAATTATCCACCAAATCTACTTTGCCGTGAACTTTCTGAAGTACTCCAGTGTATTTAAAGTTTATAAACTCTATGCTCACAATGAATGCATTTTGTGACAGGTTATTGTGTTTTACAGATTGAATTGAATTTGTGCAGTTGATATATAATTTGCATCAGCAGATTTTGCTGGATTTTACTGTAAGTTGCATCTTTGGATCTGCCCTGGCCCTTTGAAAGGCAGAAAATCACATTTCCTAGGGGGATGACATCTCTGTCTCCTCCTTCCATTGTTGGTCTCTGTGTCGCCCCACGAATACCAGTGGTGCTTTGCAGAGGCTCCACAGACCCAAGGCTGCCTGCTCAGAGCTCTGGCAATGGGCTTTGCCAGGAGCTGTGCCTGAGTGAATTCCATTGGAGATTCAGCAGAGGGGCGGGCCACAGCCCAGCTCCTCATCCTCTTGGGGCTCTGGGTCCTGGGTGAGAGGTTTCAAGGAGTAAACAGCATTCTAATGATGCAAATTTCATCATGAAACTTTAAAGATTTCACCGGAGCATTCTGATTTGTTCTGAATGATAAGATAACTTACTTTTCCCAGATATGCCTTCTAAGGTGAAGCTAGGCCAGAGAGAAGATGTGACAGTGCAGAATGTTCCTGCAGTGAGGGGAGGGAGGGTCCACAGAGCAGGACATGTGGAGCATTCTGAAGATGCAAGAACAGGGACTTGATGTTCCTCTCCAGAGCTGCCAGAAGGAGCACAGCCTTGCTATCTCCTTGTTTTCATGCCAATAGTGCCTCTCACACCTGAACTTGGATGACGGCAGAGTGTGTCATTTGACATTATAAATGGTACAATAAATTTTCAATATTTTTCAGCTGATACAAATATAGAAAATTTCTTTTTCTAATCCAATTTGTTGACTGTCCTCCAAGATCCTAAAATGCCACTTTGATATCATTTAGTGTCAGCTTGGCAAAATTAGACAAAAGTTGATGATAATGTGGGAACATCAATTACTCTTAGAGGGAAAATTTCTTCAGTGAATTGTGTTAGTGACCTCTTGGCAACCAGGGATCAGCTATCAAAGAGTGTACGTGGAGGATGAGGATCTAATTTGTCTGCTTATTGTTTCCATAATAAGAGGAGAAAATAAGATTACAGAATGTGAGAGGCCCGTCTGAATCTGAGAGATGAGAAGGAATGGAGCAGATGAGCAAAGGGTCAGGGATACATGATACTTTTTCCCCATGAAATATCAGTGCTGCAGGTAGAAGGAAAGAGTGTGAGGCTACAATGGAGATTCAGGGGTTTTCTAACTGCCTTCCAAGGAACATGGCAGACTGACTACATCTGAAAATGACTCTTAGAACAAACAGGTTTCAAGACAGGCAGCTGATGCAGCCAGACTCACACTTCTGCTTTCCTGGGTGGTTTTTGTTCGGGCTTGTATCACTGTGGGAATCCAACCACTATATTCCGCTTCACAGTAGTAGGTTCCTGCGTCCACAGCCTGCACCCCGCTGATGGTGAGAGTGAATGATTTCCCAGATCCACTGCCCTTGAACCTTGAAGGGACTCCAGGTGCTAAACTGGATACATAACTGAGCAGGAGCTTTGGACGTTGCCCTGGTTTCTGTTGAAACCAGTGTAGACAATTGTTACTATTAACACTCTGAGTTGACTGGCAATTGATGGTGACTGTGCCTCCCACAGGTGCAGACACCACGGATGGACTCTGGGTCACTTGGGCAGCACATCTGTCACCTGAAAAGAGAAACAAACACAAACATCCACTCTTTATCATCATGTTCATATAGAAGGGAGAGGAAGTTTCAGTCAAGACTGAGCACACGGGGTGAATTCAGATCCTGGTGCTATCCTTCCTCACCTGGGAGCCAGAGCAGCAGGAGGCTAAGGAGCTGAGTGGGGGCCCTCATGTCCATGCTGTGTCTTGACTACCACTGACTCCTGCACAGGCTGTGAGCACCTTCTCATAAGTCTGCAAGGCAGTGGGTCTTGCCTTGGGGACATGCAAATGAGAAGGGGAAGTGATATTGCTGTGCAAAGCATAAGTGCCCAGCTCACCTCATAACAGCACAGAGGAAGTGTCTCTAGGCACCAAGGTCACTCTCTGCACTGCACTGATTGATCTACGGAGCACACAATTTTCTCTGACACAATGTGGCATAAGCAATCGAGGGGCAGATGCATTAAGTGCATCTGTATTCCCCCTCCCCCACTCACCCCAAGTGAGCTCATGGTCCCTGAGGGTGAGTGATGAGTCAAGCGGAGGAGAGATGGTGAAGAGACAGAACACTGGTTGTCAGTAAGTTATCTGTCCTGTCCGCTAAAATGTAAGACGTATGAGATAAAGAGTTCTCTAATTTTTCAAGATATTCTAAGAAAGATTATTACTTGGATGTAATCAATAACACTGCTATTGAAACAATTCTGTGGGAATATTGTCTTTGACTGTGGATTAAATTCAGACCTGCACTACCAGAGTGAGAGATGACACAATTTCCCCTATTGTCCCCAGGGGCCTCTAAGGGGACCTTAGTGACACAAACATTAGAAAGACTTGAGCTCAACAGCCCTTGTCTACCCTCCTGAAGAACAGTGAATTTTGAATTTTCTACTTTTGGATTCTTTATCTAGAAGAGGTTAAGTTTGTGAATAGAAAGTGAATTCAAAGTATGTCATGATAAAAACTAAAGGAAAAGTCACAAAAGGAGAAGTAATGCAAACAAGATAAGGTAGAGTGGGAAGAACCCTTATACTCCTAAAACTGTTTATATAAAGTACATAAAATTTGTTCCCTTTATATAAATGTATTTCAAATAAAAATATTTTCAAAAATTTGTTACTGTTCCTGAGAGTCAGAGTGACAGAGAGATCAGAGTGAGAGAGCCTCCAAACCTCAACATGGGAAATTACTAGAGTGGGCAGCATGACAACAGTCATCTCACAGGGATTCTGCTTCTGACACAAACCTCCGCTCCAGGACCATGGGTGGGAGAGTGCATCCAACAAGATAAACATGGGGTGACAGATGCAAGGATTAGAACCTGATGAGAAGAGGCTCCAGGAAGAGGAGGCAAAGGGCCTTTCGCCCAGAGTGCATGCTACCCCAGTGAGTCCATGGGGGGTGCTTTGTGCTCTCCTTGATAAAAAATAAATATTTGTGCTCTGTCTAGTCAGGTAACCAAGGACAGACTGCTTTTATCAATTCCTCACTTCAACAGTGCTTTGACCAAGCTGCCTTGTTAGATTCCTTGACTTCCCTGCTCACAGACATGATCTGACTTGTGCTTGAATTATTGTTTTGCTGAGAGGATAAAAACTGGAACCCTGGAAATAAACTTTTGTCAGTTACCCATGAGAGTGCTGTCTCTCCATTTCTTTTCAGTCACTCTCCTCCCCAGGACCTTCAAGGTTATTTACAATTTGCACCATGATCAGGGTCCTGAAGACAAAGGAAAAAGAAAGGAGAAGACAACATCCATGTAAGGAGGTAAGCAGGAATCATTAATGGGGAAAAAAGTAAGAAAGGGGAAGTATGTTCCCTGCATTGACCTGCTTCATCACTTTTGGAAGCAGAAAGCACTGTGTTCTCAAGGGCACAGGTGCAACAGTGCAGGGACACGGTGTTGAAATAGAACTTGGTTGTCCAATGAAGGGACTTTAGACTTAAAAGTCTGGGAGAGTGAAACAGAATGTCTTAAAAACATATAACCAGGAGAAGCAGATTCTGGTGCAATCTGGAATCACTTGGGCTTTGGTACCAGGGGTGCTTCTCAGCACTGATAGGGTGAAGGCTGGAAGCTTGGTAAAGGCCCCCGAGGACTCTTTATAATGAATAAGATCTAAACCAATGTGCTAATTTTTATCTACAACTTTTTATGTTAAGGTAATCTTTGTATTCTTTGTCTCATGAAGACCTCATTGTTTAAAATTAATAAAAGTTATGTCTAGCTTTAGAAGTATTTGAGTGATGGCTTTGTGTGAATAATTAAATCTAACCTATATGTGTCATGTAAAAGAATCCTATTTCTATCAGATATGTTAAGCCTTCTTGGCATGCCTCAAAGGCATTCAAAAACTCAAAAATTACATATTTTGACAGTTTAGCATTTCTAGTGAGACCTCTTAGAGCTATCAAAGGAATCATCTCTCATTTTGTAGAGGCAAAGCTGATCCGATATTTGAACTATATTAAAGATCCTGTCAAATGCCAAGATACTGGCAAAATTTTGTTATACCAAAACACCATCACCACCCATGTCTAAAAAATTGCAGAAATCTACTACAAATTTTTGTACTTTCAAGAGTTTCAGGACAGGTGATGTCTAACAATAATAAGATGCAGGCCAAAAAAGCCAGAGACAGTAAATAAGTAAAAGATAAATGTTTAGTTCTGTAAATGTGTCCAGATTGTTCACTGCACATCTCTCAGGTTACAGGTCTTTAGTTTAATGGATGAATTTCAGTGGAATGGTCAATTTTTTTCCTCTCAGGGTTTTGATTCAGATTGGATCATCATGCTAACCTTTCACTTGCTAATTTCTACTGGGCACTGCTATTGCCCAGGTTGGTTGGTAAAGACTCCATAATACATCCTAGATTTGTCTGACATGATATCTCTTGCACTCTGTAACATTTTGGAGGCCTCAGTCAGAGGGCAGTGGCCATTCTGCATTTTGGAACATGGTTCAACAGTCAGGGAAAGGGGTGGTGTGTATTGTGATGATTAACATGGCCCCAGCAACCAGTCCTGGCTTCCTGGCTTGCAAGATTTGCCATGGTCTTTAACAATAAGCAGGTATCTCACAATCAGATCTGTTTCTATTTTGAATACTAATCTAGGACTCAATTTCATGAGTTAGGATCCATATGAGACCTCATAATGATCCACTGAGTTTCTAAATCATGAGAATATGGTGGTAACTTGTCTGTCTTGGTGTCTATGTTTCTGTCAAAACTGTTTATTTTGGGTCTGGCATGGTAGCCTAGTGACTAAAGGCCTCACCTTGTACTTGCCAGGATCGCATATTGGCACTGGCTCGTGTTTCAGAGGCCCTTTTCCCATCCAGCTCCCTGCTAACAGCCTGGGAAAGCAGTCAAGGATGGTCCAGAGCCTCGGGAACCTGCATCTGTGTGGAAGACCTAGAAGATACTCTTGATTCCTGGCTTCAAACTGGCTCAGCTACAGCTAGCCATTGTGGCCAATTGGGCGGTCAATCATCATATCTTTACATGTTTATGCTCAGTTAACTAAATGATCAAGTTATTCATGTTATAGTCTCATTGCTTTTTCTAATGCACAATTTAGGTTAACTGTAAACCTATACTTGTCTCGAATTTATAGCAGACATAGAAACTTTGGATGAATGTTTTTAAAGCTGTTATTTGATAGCTTTCACTTGATAGTGTTCCTCAATGTAAATAACCTGGTGACTGAAATAATTTCTTCATTTCTGCCTAAACTCTTAGACTCTAAAGGATGCCTCCATGTCCCCTAAATCAAGAAAAAAAAAAACAGACTTCTAAAATATTAGTGCAAGAGAAATTAAAATAAGGGCACAAAGAGCTTCCTTCTCTCCCTGCAATTCCCCCAGTATTTGTTATTTTGAAAAAGTCAGGAGAATGGACACTGCTTTACAAAATGTATTATTTACAAAATTTATATGATTACTATATGTCATTTACAGCAGGGGCTAGCTTCTCCAGAATTTGAGTAAGCATTAATATTAAAAGGAAAATCACAAAAAACTTTTTTTTCTAATTAATATGGAGATATTGAAAATTGACTGTCCTCTGAGATTCTAAAATGCCAATGTGTTCTCATTTCGTTCCAATTTTTCAGAACTAGACAATTTTGATTTTAAGGTGGGAGCACAAATTCCTCATAGAGGAGAAATCTCTTCAGTGAATTATCTTAGTGACCTCTTGTGAACCCGGTGTTTGAAAGCCTAAGGCTCAGGTATCAGAGAGTGAGTGGAACAAGAGGTTGTATTTGTTTGCCTCTTTGCTTCCATATTAAGAGAAGATAAAATTAAAGGGAATGTGAGAGGACAAGCTGAACAAGAGAGATTGAAAAGATAGAACAGATGAGGAAAAGGTCAAGGAGCAAAGATGCTTCTTTCCCCACAAATCTGAGACGTAATCCCATATGGTCTGTGAGGGTTTTGAGACAGTTTAAATGGCAGGAAAAAAAGCAGAGAGGGCAGATTTAAGATCTAAAGCAACATGCAATCAAACAGGTCAGCACGAACCCTGGATTTCACATCACCCTTGTTTTCTTGTGCTCTGCCTCTAGTTACAGCCTCAAACACAGAGTGAGCATGCCCATGTCAAAGAAAATATTTTAAATTATATTGGCCTGGGTTAACATTGCAGTTTCCACTCAACATGCATTTTGGGGAAAACAACCCATGTGCTCTCAGATCTGAAGGTCAGAAGGGAAATTCTGGACCACCCATCTGCACCTGCAGGATGAGACATGGACAACATTGAAGACAGGGCAACCCCTTGTGAGGTTGCAGGCAGTTGAGAGCATCAGCTCCAGGGATGAGGACCACAGGGCTCAGCATCCTGTTCCTTCTGTGGGAGAAGGCGGCATTGCATTCTGGGAGAGCACAGAGTCCCATATTTAGAATCACCATCTGTGATCCCCACATTCCTAGATCATTATAGTATAACTTGGATTCTAATATATGTTGTTTAATGCTTCTGCTTCAAATATCTAAAATTCTAACCCTTTTGCTGTATGAATCCAAAAATGTTGTAACATGGAGAACTCAGGCATAAACACATCTTTGTTCTAAACCAGTAGACATCTGGAAATAACAGTGCTACAGGAGTCAAGTAGGAGAAAGAGAGGGAGGTTACAAGAGGTTGCCCAGGTGCATTTCTTATTCAATTCCAGGGACCATCATAGTCTAACTGCATCTGAGAATCACTCTTAAATGATAGAGGCACCAGGACAGGAAGCTGGGGCTGCCAAAATGACACTTCTGCTTTCATGGGAGGTTTTTGTTCAGGCTTGTATCACTGCATTAGTACCACAACAAAAATAACCTAGACAGTAGTAGATTCCTACATCCCGAAGCTGCACACCACTGATGGTGAGAGTGGATGATGTCCAAGAACCACTGCCCTTGAACCTCAAGGGAACCCCAGGTGCTAAAGTGGATGCACTATAGATCAGGCTCTTGGGATGTTGCCCTGGTATCTGCTGAAACCAGTGTAGACAACTGTTGCTGTAAACACTCTCACTTGACTGGCAATTGATGGTGACTGTGCCTCCCACATTTGTCATCTGGCACCTGAGAAGAGAAACAAACACAAACATCCACTTTCATCATGGTCTTAGAGAAGAGAGATTCAGTCAGCCCTGAAGACACTGAGTTCAGAACCTACCACTGTTCTTCACCTGGGAGCCAGAGCAACAGGAGGCCCAGGAGCTGAGCAGGGGCCCGCATGTCCATGCTGTGTCTTGACTGGCACTGACTCCCACACAGGGTGTGAAGAGGATACTCCTAAGTGTGCAGGGTAGATGGCTGTGCCCTAGGGACATGCCAATCAACAGGCTATGTGTCACATCTTTCTGCTAAATTAAAGAGCTCAGCTCATCTCATACAAGTATAGTGGTGTCATCTCTTTGTATTTTGTGGCTATTTTTCAATTTACAGGAGAGCAATTTGTTGGTACAAAAGTGCAATATCTTCTTAAAACATATGTCTCCCAATTCCTCTGCCTGCCTTTCAATTGTATAATGCTATCTTTAGCACTTATACATTTCTGGGAGTGTGAAGGAGTTGTACTTACACCATTTAGAGAAGGACATATATGACCTCACTCATATTTAGGAGACAATGTTTAATAATGCTCAAACACTGTTATGTTCTGAATAATGTAAAGCAATATACTGCAAATACAAGAAACATAATCTGAAATAGAAGGCTTTTATACAGAGACTAATTGTGCTGCCCCTTTCTTGATATTATTTTAGGTCAGATACCTTCTGGTTGGCACAAATCTGGGTTGTACACCATAAGTGCCTCATTCCTAAAATACTCTTTAATGGGGATGGTGGGGAGAGAAAGGACAGAGCACTCAACTTCTCCCTACCCAGGAACATCCACTTTGTCAAGCCACTAACATAGAGCAATATCTTGGTTTCCAATAGATTTGGAGTCAGATTTGCACCCTTGTATCTCACACCTCTTCTTTGCTGCAGTCACTCAGTCGGTATCACCAGAATGGAAAAAGAAAGTCACCACCTCAGGACCAAGGAGCCTTGGAACCAGGGAGGTGGTACGTATTACTGAGGCATGGACACGAGTATCTGGCCACTGGAGTTCAGCCATATCACAAAACTTCTACCATCTGCCTTGGGTCTGATCTGCAAAGGAACCTGCTTGCAAAGAGCATATCAAGACCTGAGTGAAGAAAACTGCCTCTCCAGACCTAAGGGTGGCAAGACCACCCCAACCTCCCCCTTTCCTTTCTTCTACTGCCTACCACCACTCCTGCCTGGGCTGCACTGACCTCTTGGGAGTTGATGAGGTAACTCTACCTGCACACATGCAGACCATTGGGAGTGGGATGAGCAGCCCTTAGGGAACCCTCTGTGCATGAGAGCAGGAAGAGAAGTTGAGGACCCTTGCTTACTCACCTCTCAGAGGAGTCAGCCCTGAGGCTTTCATCTGCATTCTTTGTAGGTTTAAGATACAATAATCCTCAAGTATCATAACTTACGTAGAGAACAATGTGATAATATAATATTTTATTATATTATATTACATAATGTTTTTCTCTTCATGATAGGAAGGCAGACCAAGGTCAGGGAGGAGGATTGACTGTGCAGAAGGATGTTGGAGTGAGGGGAGGCACGGACCACAGAACACGACACGTGGGACATCCTGAAGCTGCAAGAACAAGGGCTTGGTTCCTCCCCTCTGGAGCTGCCAGAAGGAGCACAGCCCTGCTGCCTGCTCAGTTCATCTCAGCGAGTCATCTGATCTCCTAAACTAGGATGAAAACAAGCGTATAGTTTGACATCAGAAATAGGACAGTAACTTATAAATAATATTTTCAGCTAATACAAATACAAATAATTTTGTACCTTCTTCCCACTATAATTGACTGACAGCTGAGAACTTCAAGTATCACTTTGTCTCATTTAGGGAAGTTTGACAGAATTAAGCAATAACTAATGGTAAGTTGGCAGCACAGATTCGTCTTAAAGGGAAAATATCTTGGGCCCATTATCTTCATGACCTCTTTTCAACCACGTATATGAAAGCCAGGAGCTCAGCCATCAAAAAGTGCCGGTGGAAGTTGAGGTGCTGATTTATTTGTGTTTCTGCTTCCATATTAAGAGATGAAAATAAGATTATGGAGAATGTGAGAGAACAGGACTGAAAATCCGAGGGAAGAGAAGGGACAGACCAGATGAAGAAAGGTTCAGGGATGTGAGTGCTTCTCTCCCCAAAAACCTGAAGTGTTATCACCTGTTGTCTGTGACAGCTCTGAGACAGTTGTATGTGGCAGGTTAAATTGTAGAGAGGGCTGTGTCAAAGACCTGCATCAATATGGAGTCAGTCAGGTCAGTGTGATCTCTGGATTTCACATCACCATGGCTTTCTCTTGCCCTGCCTGTAATTTTACCTCAAATATGGAGTGAACACGGCCATGTGGAAGTCAATATCCAAACATGTATTCACCTGAGTTAAAATCGCATTTCCTAGCTCACCATGAATTCATGAAACAATGAACCCATGTACCCTGACATTTGAATATCAGAAGACAAGTTCTGAAAATCCATCAGCACTTGCAGGCAGAACCAGTAATGAAGGACTGAGGAACCACCTGTGAGGATGCAGGCAGCTGAGAGCATCAGCTCCAGGGACGAGGACCACAGAGTCAGGAGCCTGTTCCTTCTCTCAGAGAGGCTGGAATTCAGGGTGAATACAGAAACACACGTTTCTAAGATCACTATCTCTTAGCCCACCTTCCTAGAACATGAAAGTATAATTGGATTATAATAAATTCTACTTAATGTTTCTGCTTGAAAGATCCATAATAATTCCTTTTTACTGTATGAATCGAAGGCATAATGTAACATTGAGTACTCAAGCATAATCATTCCTTACCTTTAAATGAGTAAAATCATGGACATTCCTGAGATCCAGCTGCCAACTTCAAAGAAAAATTAAGAACGCTAGAAGGAGTTCCAGAGGACTTTGTATTAAGTTTCACAAACCATGCATGACTTATTGAATCAACGAATGCCTGTTAGATGATAAGCCTAAGGATGAGCAGATGGGGAAGCCCACACCCATACTTCTGCTTTCATGGGAGGTTTTTGTACAGGCTTGTATCACTGTGGGAGCCGAACAATCACTAGTACAAAAACATCCTTGACAGTAGTAGATTCCTGCATCCTCAGCCTGCACCGGGCTGATGGTGAGGGTGAATGATGTCCCAGATCCACTGCCCTTGAACCTCGAGGGAACCCCAGGTGCTAAAGTGGATGCCAGATAGATCAGGAGCTTTGGACGTTGTCTTGGTTTCTGCTGATACCAGGATAATTGATTGTTCTGGCAAACACTCTGACTTAACTGGCAATTGATGGTGGCTGTGCCTCCCACAGGTGCAGACACCACCGATGGACTCTGGGTTATCGTTTGGCCGGAACATCTGGCACCTGAGAAGAGAAACACAAACACAAACATCCACTCTCATCAGCATGTCCATACAGAAGGCACAGGAAGATTTCAGTCAGCACTGAGCACACTGGATGATTTCAAGTCTCAATGCGGTCCTTCCTCACCTAGGAGGCAGAGCAGCAGGAGGCCCAGGAGCTGAGTAGGGGCCCTCATGTCCATGCTGTGTCTTGACTGGCACTGACTCCTGCACAGGCTGAGAGCAGCCTGCTCATAAAGTGTGCAAGACAGTGGGCGGTTCCCTGGGGACATGCAAATCAGCAGGGGAAGTGATATTGCTGTGCAAAGCAGAAGAGCCCAGCTCATCTCATAACTGAGAACAGAGGAAGTATCTTCAGGCATCCAGGTCACCCCGTGGGCTGCGCTAAATTACTTGGCGAGAACAACATCTTCTTTGACAGTTTGTCATAAGGTGTTTGAATAGCTCTTTACAAACTAAAGATTCCAAAGATAAGGAATTGTCATCTACATGTATCTAATGACTAGGTTTTAATTTACAGAACAACTTCTTGGGAGAGCATATGCAGTACCATTCTGTGGAGTAATTTTATAAATTTCTGAACATACCTCCAAGTCTTCCCACACATAATTTTTACTTATACAATCCAGTGAGTCTAAAATTATTTCACTTACCTTATTTAGCAAAAAGAAGAGGAAATCATATATATTTAGAAACCACAATATAATGACACTCAGACACTGTTAGAATCTGAATAATGAGAAAATATTTGTTGCAAACAGATGCATTATAATATAGGAGAGGGCACTTATGCCCAGAATCTAAATGGGCTGCCATTTTGTTGACATGAGTGTTTCTCCCATTTTTTGCCATTTCTCACCATGAAGCTCTGACTACTGACGTGAAATGCCATGAATGCAGTCATCAGTGTTTGCATTCATCTGTATGTACTTGGAATAGGATCCTCAAGAAATTTAAATGAGTTCACACCCAGAAAAATCTACAAAAAAGACAAGGATATCACAAGCAAGTCTCCTGCCTAAGTTTCTCTGAGCTGCAGTATTTCCCGCTGGGGCTCAGGTAGAACCACTCTGAAACCTTGTGGTGTAAAACAGCTGAGGAGGTAGCCCATGGGAAATAACCATTTTTTAACCCACCTCATGTAGATGAGGGTACCTGCTGCTTGTTGCAGAGCTAGGTCATGCACTGAAAGTGCCTCATTCTTCTTACACCCTTTATCAAGGCCAAGGCAAGATGATGCATCAGTCTGCACTATGCCAAGCCGAATCCAATAATCTGAGCAATATCTTGGATTCTAATAGGCTTGGATCCTGATTTGCATACTGTATCTCACATCTCTACCTTTGCTGCAGTCACCCAGTCTGCATCACTAGAATGGGATAAGGGAGTCAGCAACTTAGTATCCAGGAGCCTGGGGACCAGGGAGGAGTTGGGTATTACCAAGGCATGAGCACAAGTGCCTAGACCATGTGGATACAGCCACATCACAAAACCCTGCCTCCCGCTTGGGATCTGATTTGTAATGGAACCTGCTAACACAGGACCTACCAGGATCAGAGTGATGAAGTCAGCTGTTCTAGATGGTTACATACATCGTTTAAGGATGAGGATAACAGAACCACACATCCTTCTCCTTCACTGTTCCATTGCTGATCCCATCCACTCCTGCCTGGGTTGCACTGAGCTCTCTGAGCTGGGGAGGCAGTTTTGCCTGCACACATGCAGAGCACAGGGCCTGGGATGAGCAGTCCTTAGTGAGCCTGCTGTGCGTGACAGCAGGGTAAGGGCTGAGGATGCCAGCTCCATCTCCTCTCAGAGGAGTCATCCCTTAGGCTTCCACTGTTAAATGGGGGGTCAAAATCCAAAAATCCTCAACTATAACTAATTTTACTTAAGGAATGATATGATGTGATGTGATTGATATAATGCAATATTTTTTATTACATAGCATAATTTACATCTCTCTTCATTATTTGGAGGCTGACCAATGTCAAGAGAGCAGGCATGAAGGTGATGCTTGTTAGAATCAGGAGAGAAGAGACTTCTGGGCAGGACACATGTGGCATTCTGAAATTGTAAAAACAGGGACTTGGATCCCTCTGGAGCTGCCAGAAGGAGCACAGCCCTGCTGCCCTACTTTTTTCATGTTCTCATTTCTTGTCAGTTTGGTAGTATTAAATAATAGCTGATGATATTGTGTGTGGCCTCTGACTTTTAAACTTGAATGACGACATAGTGCACAGTTTGACATCATACACTGTGCAATAATTTATAAATAATACATTTCTGTTAATACAACTATAGATAGTTTAATCACTCCATCCACCCCCTGTAAGTGACTGATCCTTGAGATATTCAAATGTCACCTCGCTCTCATTTCTTGTCAGTTTGGCAGAATTAGACAATGGTTGATGTCAATGTGGGAGTACTAATTCCCTTAGAGGGAAAATCTCTTTGTAGATTTATCATCGTGAGCTCTTGTGAGCCCAGGCGTGTGAAAACCTAGGGCTCAGCTATCAATGAGTGTGAGTGGAGGAAGGGGTTCTGACTGGTTTCCTTCTCTGCTTCCAAAGTAGGAGGATAAAATATGATCACACAGAATGTGAGGGCAATGTGCAGAGTCTGAGGAATGAGAAGACACGGAGTGGATGAGGAAGGGGGCATACATGCAAGATACACCTTGCCCCACTCATTTGAAATGTAATCTCCTGTGGCCTGTGAGGCCTTTGGGACAATTGGATGTGGCAGGAATAATTGCAGAGAGGCCTGGATTAAAGACCTGGATCAGCCTGAACCAGCATGGATCAAGCAGATGAGTGTGAATTCTGGATTTCAGATCACTCTTGTTTTCTTGTGCCCTGTCTCTTGTGATGGTCTCAAACTTGGAGTAAACATGGCCATGTGGAAAAAATATTTAAGCACGTATAGTTGTGGGTTTAAGTTCCAGTTCCCAGCTCATCATATGTCTTGGGCCAAACAAACCATATGCCCTAAGCGTTAAATGTCAGAAGACAAATTCTATGCCATACATCTGTACCTACATGCAGAATCAGTGGTGAGAACTATGGATCCACCTGTTCTGCTGCAGGAAGCTAAAGCATCAGCTCCAGGGTGGCTGCCAAACACAGGATCAGCAATCTGCTCCTTCTGTGGCAGAGGGGCAGTGGATTCTGGAGGGACCAGAGTCACATTTCTATAATCACCATTTCTAATCCAAACATACCCAGATCATTAAGATATAATTTGAATTCTGAAGCAATCTATTTAAAGTTTCTGCATGAAAGATACATAACAACTCCCTTTTTACTGTATGAATCCAAAAGGATGCTGTAACATTGAGAACTCAGGCATCATCACATCTTTCCTGTACATCAGTGAACATGGACATTCCGGTGCTGCAGGTGTCAAGCTGGAAGAAAGAGAGGGAGGATACCAAGCAGTCTCGGGCTTTTCTAACTTCATTTCACAGAATATTAAGGCCAGAGTGCATCAAAGGAGGACTCATAACAGATAAAGACCCGAGAAAAGTGATAGCACAGACAAGGCTCACACTTCTGCTTTTCTAGTAGTTTTTGTGCAGACTTGCATCACTGTGTAAGTTGTACTACCACGAGGATAATACAACCATAGACAGTAGTAAGTTCCAACATTAACAGCCTGCACCCCACTGATGGTGAGTGTGAATGATGTCCCAAATCCACTGCCCTTGAACCTCGAGGGAACCTCAGGTGCTAAATTGGATGCTTGATAGATCAGGAGCTTAGGAGGCTGCCCTGGTTTCTGTTGATACCAGGATAGATACTTATTCTGGTTAACACTCTGAGCTGACTGTCAATTGATGGTGGCTGTGCCTCCCACAGGTGCAGACACCACCGATGGACTCTGGGTCACTTGAGCAGCACGTTTAGCACCTGAGAAGAGAAACACAAACATCCACTCTCATCATGATGTCCATACAGAAGACACAAAAGTTTTCAGTCAGCACTGAGCACACTGGATGAATTCAGATTCTGGTGCTATCTTTCCTCACCTAGGAGCCAGAGCAACAGGAGGCCCAGGAGCTGAGCAGGGGCCCTCATGTCCGTACTGTGTCTTGACTGGCACTGACTCCTGCACAGGCTGAGAGCAGCCTGCTCATAAAGTGTGCAGGACAGTGGGCTGTTCCCTGGGGACATGCAAATCAATAAGGGAAGTGATATTTCTGTGCAAAGCAGGAGAGCCCAGCTCATCTCATAACCAAGCACAGAGAAGTGTTTCCAGGCACCCAGGTCACCTCCTGGGCTGCACTAAATTAGATGTAGAGTAATACTGTTTGACAAGCAATGTGTGTCAAATGCATTTGAACAAATATTGCAAAACTCTAAAAGATACCCAAGATCAGGAATTGTCATCTACTTTCATTTCATGGCGAGGTTTCAATTTACAGAACATTTTCTTGGCAGAGAATATGCAATACCATTTACAGAGTAAATTTATAAATTTGAGACTATCATCAACATCTTCCCATACTTCATTTATTACTTATACAGTGCACTGAATCTAAAATTATTTCATGTAGCTTATGGAGAAAACAGATAGAGTGGGACTTATATATATTTTGGAGCCACAATGTAGTGACACCCAGACACTGTTAGGATCTGAATAATGAGAAATTATTTGCTGCAGATAGATGCACCATAATAGAGGAGAGGGCTCTTACACCCAGAGTCTAAATGGGTTGCACCTTTGTTGACATGAGTATCTTTGTAATACAATTTCCTGTCATTTATTGCTATTTCCTGAACTTCATCATCATGAAGATCTGATTTGATATAACATGCCATGAATGGAACAGTCATCAGTGTTTGCATTCATCTGTATGTACTTGGAATAGGATCCTCAAGAAATTTAAATGTGTTCACACCTAGAAAAATCTACGAAAAAGACAAAGAAATCACAAGCAAGTCTTCTGCCTAAGTTTCTCTGAGCTGCAGTATTTCCTGCTGGGGCTCAGGTAGAACCACTCTGAAACCTTGTGGTGTAAAACAGCTGAGGAGGTAGCCCATGGGAAACAACCATTTTTAACCCACCTCATGTAGATGAGGGTACCTGCTGCTTGTTGCAGAGATAGGTCATGCACTGAAAGTGCCTCATTCTTCTTACACCCTTTATCAAGGCCAAGGCAAGGTAACCCAGGAATCTC